CAGCAGGTGCTTCCCGAGTTATAGACACAGGAGAGGCAACTCCTGCAGACCAGACAGAAAGCAGGGAAGCAAGGGGCCTGATGTCCTGGCCGTCTGCCTCTGGAACCCCTCTCCTTCTGGTCTCGTAGACCTCGCACTTGTGCTCCTCCTCCTATGAGGAAAGGTATGTAGTAACTGTCACCACGTGCTGAACAAATCACACCTTCAACGGCCTGCCACGACCACCACTGTACCACAAGCGCTCGGAAGTCCAGCTCAGAAGTCACCCGCTCTTCCTGAGGCTCCACACCCTATCCCTGCAGCCTCACACAAGACTACACACACCGAGGCCTAGGGACGGCGCAGAACAGAACCAAGGGAACCGATCCCAGAGAGCAGGACCTGGGAAGTAGCTCGCTCTGCCATCGCGGAAGCAAGCTCTGGATTCAGGAGCGCCCCAGGACCCAGCACCAAGGGACGGAAGGGAAGACGCAGCCGAGGAAACATAACCGTCGGTGCTACCACCCGAAGCCGGCTCAAACTGCCGGCTGCTGAACTACAGGGTGGCAGCAAAGGTAATGGGTATGCTTGACCCAGGGGATGGCACTTTTCAGACAAAAATTTTCTGGCCATAGGTACAAGTAGGTGACAAACATCTGGCGAGGGAGTGCATGTCTGAGAAAAATGGTATTTAACATCCCTGGTTGTTTAGACATTTAACTTATCCAACGTGTGTTGGAAAACAACTGGCCCAGTTTTCACTCCATACAGGTACACTTAACTCAGAAACCTGAAAATAGCTAATTCCACCCAAGGATCTAGACAGCCTGCAGAACACAAATTCGAATCACACCCAGGTCCTCCCCAGCAGCTCCAGGGCACTTATCCCTGACGAAAACCCCCAGCTTTCCCTGCCTGAGAGCACCTCAGCCAGCAGAACTGACAACTCTCCGCGACCTCGAGCAAACCATTCTGCCGCTCCCAGCCTCGAGTTCCCCATTTACAAAGTGAGAAGACCATGAGGAGCCAACGCCTGTAATCCCAGCCCTGGGGCGGCTGAGACAAGAGGATCCCTGCGAGTTCGCGGCCAGCCTGGCTTACACAGCCAGGCCGGTCTCAAAAGTAATTAAACGGACAAATAGTTAGCAGACAGGACTGTGAAGAGGCCAGTGCATCTGGGAGGAGAAAACTTCAGACGCAGCACAGAGCGGGTGAGGGCCGCTGAGGGAGGCGGTGTTTAAAGCTCCAGGCTGGAGTCTCAAGCAGCGCGGTCCGCGCAGTCACTTCCCCGCAAACTCCAACCGTCCCAACTCCCAGACCGGCTCAAACCAGGCGGCGCCGGGACCCTGGGGGGGAGGGGGGC